TCTAAATCTCAATATTAAAATGTATGAAGGGAAAATTCCCTTATCGGTGTTCCAACTTACCCTTTTAGAAAAAAACCTGGCTATGCCTATATCTCCTTACAGATCTAGATTATTTTTCTAATATATTCAAATTAAATATTTTATTTAGTATACCCATTAGGAATTTAACAGTTGCATAAATTGAAGAATATTTTATTCTTTAAAGTAAAATTTTTAAAAAAAACCATCTAAGAAGTGCTATCTTGGAATATAGATTTGAATGGACTTAGACCTTGAAAATAATTTTTAGGGATTTATGATAAATACTGAAGTAACTAACGAAAACAACTTAACTCAATTTACAAAGATTATCTCATATATTATTGTTTTTCTTAAAAACCTTCCCGGTTAATATATCATGCAATGTTTCTGAAGAATTATTTTTGTACGTTAAATCTTTATTAATTGCGAAGAAGTAACTAGTTACAGACATTTTTCGCAAAAAGTGAAACTTATTATCGATTGTATATACTTAAAAAGCCTTGGAATGATATCAGACCTTCTACCAGATAAAAGCAAGTGGAATAACGAAAATAGGGGGAAATGTAAGGGAGGTTAAAAGTAGTATTTTTAAACGGCCCGTTGATTTTTAAAAACGGCTAACTCAATTATTTCACCCAGAAAAATATCACAAAAGCCTGAAGATTTTGCTTATAGAAGGTATAGAAAGGTTTAGACATATATTATAGAAATCTCGAGACTTGAGCAATAATTCCTGGCTGAAATATTGGGTTAGCCGTTTTGAAAAATCGGCTCAAAACGAGTGCCGTTTAACAACACTAGTTTAAAGCCTCTTATAAAATTGAGGCGCAGAAAAATATGGCCGTGAAGTTAAAGTATTGTTATTTATTAGCCTCTCAACCTATATCAAAAATAAATTTATTTCAAAAGGGGTTTTTTTCCATAAATTTAAGGTTAAAAAAATTGTAAGATAGCCAAACATAAGTGTTGATAAGTTATGTAATAAGTTAGAGTATAATATCGCTGGCTTAAAAAAATTTTTGTATAAAATTGTAATACATTTTGTGCGTCAGCAAATAGGTTCAAAAGTTACCTATAACCAAAATAAATAAAATTGGTTCAAGTTCGAAAAAATATCTCTTATAAAAACGATTAAATTAGATTCTTTTCTCTTTTAGCTTTCACCTTTTCTGGTGGTAAGCTCCTTCAATATCTCTCTCCACTTTATGTCATTCATACTATCTCTTTTATCTAATTTATACTTCTTTATATTGGCTCTAACTTTATGGCCCCATTGAAGTTTTGGCCTTCCTCTTTTACGTTTGCCCATCACTTCCAAACTCTCAACCTTATTTCCTATGTAGTTCGTAGCCCTTCTCATTGTGTGCCCATACCACCTAAGTCTGTTTACCATTATCTTAGTCTTATAGAAAAGGGACCTTATTCAAAATGATAAAATAGGTTCTAGGTCATATTTCCATCACAAACAATTAAAATATAAGACTGCAATTTTATTACAAAATTTTTACGACATATTTTATTTTTTCGCATATTAATTCAAAGTAGTGCTGTTAAACGGCGCTCGTTTTGAGCCGATTTTTCAAAACGGCTAACTCAATATTTCGTCCAGAATAATATTACGCAAGACTGAAGATTTTGTTTGTAGAAGGAACTAAGAATTGGACTGTAGAAGGAACTAGGGTTGGACATCTATTAACGGAATCTCGAGGTAGACAATATTTTTCGAGCTGAAATATTAGCCGTTTTCAAAAATTGGCTCAAAATAAGCGTCGTTTAACAACACTAATTTAAAGTATAGTAATAAATAACTATATTTATACAATAATAAAAAAATATAAACATAAAGGATAAGGTAACTCCCTACTCCCAGACGCGTCAAAGATTCCTCCGCCATTAATCCGTCGTGGAAAGTGTCAATCTATTTTTCTTTATGAAGAAGGTGGGGAGGTTAGATTTTTATTGTTTTTTATGATATATATTTTTTTGCCTTCATTATTATTTTATCTAATATCAATTTAAATTTCTGTCATGATATAGGTTTATTCTAGATAAAATAATTCCGTTTGCATTATAGAAAAGCAAGCTTTACATTTTTACGCTTACTTCAAGAATCAGGGAAACACAGAGTTTGAAAAAAAATGAAGATTTTTTGGTCAAAATTTTGAACAGAATATTTTTCAAAAAAAATGTAATTGTAATCCTGATATTTTTTATGCATATAAATCACACTATTTTGTTATAAAATTGATTTAATTTTAGGTAACATTTAATCAAAAACCCTGTTGTTTGAGCATTCTCAAAAAAAAATCTTCTTTTAAGATAGTTGTTAATCTCTCACGTATAAATATTGATAAGGGGAGTAATAAGAATTATATTATTATTTAAAAAGGATTAAATTTATATTCCAAAAAGAAATTATTTAAATCTACAATAAATAAATTTATACCCAATGCCATAAGGAAATCGCTTAGACGTAGTGCTGTTGTCAAAAGTAAGAAGTTACTAGTTAACTTAAAAAAATATATATATATAATATCTTGCTTTCCAAATGGATAATAAAAATCTATCTTTCCTTCTTTACCATTTCCGTTCGTTCTAACTCGAATATTTCTTGAGTGGACCTAATTAATCTTGTCTCGTTGACGTACATCCTACAACTTCTCACATATCGTATATTTATTTTTCCCCTTCAAGGTTAGAAAGGCATTTTTATCCGCTAAATTTGAAAATATCTTTCTCAATTTCTTCCAAGCTAACACTAACAAGTCAGGGTCTTTGACTGAGCTAAGTGTATCACTTAGGTAGCAAAATTCCCTCTTCCCTATTCCAAAGCTGTTCCATTTCCAATATAAAACTAGTTTTGTTACTGTCACTTTTCTTCATATTCACACACTCTCTACAAATATACATCATGTTTGCTATCTGTAGACTCCCCTTTATACCACACCTATTATAAACTTATTCAACACGAGTAAAATTTATGAAATTGTTAGCAACAAATTTCCCACATACAGCACAGGATCAAGTGCGTCTCTTTGATTCTTTCCAAACAGCACCATCGTATGTTCTATATTCATTTTTAAACCTTTCTCTTCCATCCATTGATTTTAAATTTTAGTCAGCATATAGTATTTTTTATGGAAATACTTTGGGCGTTATGTTCATTACTATAATCTAGAGTAATTGACTCAAGGTGGATCCTTGATGTAGAACACCTTTGCCTCAAAATACACATAAAAATTATTTAAATATATTTATAATTAATTCTGAAATCATGATCTTTTTATTTAATTTAATTTTGAAATTTATATTTAAAAATCTGAATTTTCTAAATAATTTAAAATGTCGACGATAGAGATTGATTGATATTGAAGAAAATTTTGCTAAAGATCACAACAAAGTAATTTCCCTGGAAAATTATGAAAATGAAAATACGGAATTTACTTTTCTTGAATTCACAAAATATTCTAAACTCGATATAAAAAAAATTAACACATGTTATAAATTTCACGATATAGTGGAAGGTTTTATCATCACATAAGACTAGTAGCTTCAACGAAACCAGGAAACATTTAAAAGTAATATATCAAACAAATTTGGTTTTTATAGGGAAGTAAACACACTTGTACGTTGTTCATAACCAGGGATTTGAACCGAACCCGAACCCGGAGAAGTGAACCCGGGTTTTTAGAAAAAAACTCTGAACCCGAACCGAACCTGAACCCCATTTATAAAATTTCCAAAACCCCAAACCGAACCCAAGAATTTTATTTGAACCCGGGTTCAATCGGGTTCAGTGTATTATTTAAAATCATATATTAATATATGTAAATACAAATATTATATTTTCAAATTTCCAATTAAATGAAGTCTTAATAAATTTTAAACAATTTAATTCATTTATGCCATTTTTAAATTTATTCTCGATTCCTATTGGAGTGTTAAAAAATTTTAAACAATTGAATTAATTTACGCCATTTATTTTTAAATTTTTATCTTATTATTCTTAAAGATTATTAATTAGAAGAAAATGGTTAACAAATCAAAGTAAAAATTATTATATTGTTAATTTAAAAAATTCTAAATATCTAACTTAAAAATTGTTAAATGTAGGGCAGTTTTTGTGAACTTATTAAAATGATTTTAAAATTTATATATGCTAATCATTTATTTTTGGTTCAGTTTAATTTTTACAAGATATTAATGAAGTGCATATTATAAATGAAATTAAATTTATAAATATCTCTTTTTTAATTCTGAAATCATTGCTATTTAAAAAATTTGTTCTCTTTTTATAGATTTAAGATTAAAGATAAAGTCATATTTGATAAGCATTTTACCCTTAATAAAATAGAAAAAAAAATCAATATGTTCATATTGCAAAGTAAAAATGTCTGGTAATCACTTGTCAAATTTCGAAAGACACCTGGAAACAAATCACAACAATGAATATTTAAATTATTTAAATGAAAAAACCAAATATCAGGAATTGTTATTGGCAAAAAAACCTAAAATTAATATAGAAACCTTTTTTCCAAAAAAGCATATAAGTATAAATATATCATCTAATGATTTGATGAGTTCTATACTAGAACTTGTTACTGTAAATGGCCGGCCTTTATCAATTATTGAAGATTCGGGATTTCAAAGAATTATAAATCCACTCCTATCTGGGCTCAATTTAGTTATAAACAAAGAAAATTTATCCAGAACTATTAATAAAACAGCCCAATCAATTAGAGACAAAATATCAAGAGAGGTAGAAGGAAAATTAATAAGTTTAAAATTTGATGCAGTTCAACGACTAGATAGGTCAATTGTTGGTGTAAATATTTAATTTATATCAAAGTCCATTATAAATTTGAGGACTCTTGGAATTGTAGAGCTGAAAGAGAGATGTACAGGAGAATATATAAAAGAGAATATATTAAAAACTTTACTAAAATATAAAATTAATATTCAACAAATATACACAATTACTTCTGATAATGGTTGTAATTTTTTAAGAGCTATAAAGCTCCTGCAACCTGAAACTGATTATGATATAAGGAGTGAATCAGCAGATGAGGAAAATATGGATGTAAATGTATATAAATATGATATTGATGATATACAAAATACTTTTTTATCAACTATTATATCCTATCCGATTTATAGTGTACGGTGTGCACACACTTCAGCTGGCACTTCAAGTTGCTATAAAATTATCACCTATTGTGGAAACCATTGCAAAAGCTAGGAGCCTAAATTTAAAATTAAGACATCCCACTTACCAAAAGTTATTAAAAAAATATGAAACTCCCTAAGCCTGTGTTAGATTGCCACAGATGGCATTCAACCCATGATATGTTAGAAAGGCTGATTTTACTAAAACCCAATATCGAAGATTTTTTTACAGAGCAATCTGATTATTTATTGACTGAAGATTGGAAAGAGATAATAACGATTGTTGAAATTTTAAAACCGCTAAAAATCGCAACCAAACAATTCCAATCTGAACAGTTAACACTGACAGATTTTTATGCAGCATGGTTAAGATGCTGCATCGAACTGGAAAAAAATCCAAACCATTTTGCTCAATTACTATATTCTTGTCTTAAGAACAGAGAAGAAAGGTTTATAAAGAACGAAATTCTCTTAGCTGCCATATACCTGGGCCCAAGATACAAGGTTAATTAAAAGCTTAGTAAATTAATTATTTTAGATTTATATTAAAATTTATATTTTATGAAATATTTAAATATAAACAATATAAATCCTTAAATATTACAGGTATTACTTAGTGATGATGATAAGATTTGTGCGAAAAAACATCTTGTCAATTTATGGAGACGAATTAAAAGCTTAACAACGCCAATTTTATCTGATGATATTAGTTCCGATGAAGTTATTGAACAAGAAGATGATTTAGAGAAATTGATACAACTTAAAGAAAGGCAGGAGAAAATACTTAAAAGAGGGCCAACGATTGCTGAGAAAAGTATTGGAACAATAATTACTGGATTTAGCGATTATATAAGATTAGATAAGAAGGAAAATATTTTGCATTTTTGGGAGTCTGCTAAGCTGGAACACCCTGAATTATATATTTTATCTAAAATCTTATTTGCTGTTCCTGCAACCCAAGTTAATTTTTCATATTTTCACATATAAATACATTTAACATAGGTTAGCGTTGAAAGATCTTTTTCACATTTGAAATTCATTCTTTCACCACATAGATCGAGGATGAGTGAACAACTCTTAGATATTGTGCTAATACGTCTAAATAAAATTTTTAAAATTGATACATGACTATATGCTTTGTATTTTTAATTATATTTGCCTATAAATAAAATAAAAAATTTATTTTTTATATCAAATTTATGTCTAGTTTTTTATTATGATTTAAATATAGAATTTTTTTTATCAACTCAAAAATTCTTGAACCCGAACCGAACCAAACCCGGTTTCAAAAATATTTCCCTGAACCGAACCCGAACCGAACCCAACTTTTTTTTTATACCCCAAACCGAACCCGAACCGAACCCGGTCTAAAATTTTGTCGGGTTCGCATCCCTGTTCATAACAATAATCGAGAATTAAGCCTAAAGCAACAAAACCCCAAATTTAAATAATATTGAATATATTTTTTTAAACCATTAAAAATCTTATTTTATGTCTAGTCTCAGCTAAAAATAAAAGACGGAATTTAGTGTACAAAGCGCGAAATCGAACCCCATAAACTAAACGCTGTGCAGTCCCGATTTGTGGATACATTATAGGGCTCTTGGAGAAATCTGCAGGCTCCACGTGTACCCGGACTGGGCGGTTTTTATCCGGGCCGTATATTTTGAAACCAAATATTTGAAATCGCAATTATTAGCTATAAAAATCAATAATAAATCTTTTTTTAAACACAGGCCGAGCTGCGCAAATGGTACCTCTGCTGATCTCTGGTGATAGCCCCCCTAGAAAAAATATTTGCTCATATACTTCTAAAAAAAAAATTATTATTAAAATTTACTATTTATTAATTTTAATAGTCGATTCATCTGTTGACACAATACACTATTTATAACTATACATATATATATATCATTTACAATAAAACTCGAATTACCTTTGATTTTTGTTTTTTTTTTAAATTTAACATAATTCGAGAAGTTTAAGTGAGCGAGTCAAGCAGCGACCAGTCGTTTTTTGAGCTTTTTCTTTTTACTAGCAATCGTAATTTCCAGATCACTGGATAGAGCGTAACTTTCAACTTTACCATTCAAAAGTGCCATATTGATTTCGGAATGATTTAAGGTTGCTTCCAACTTCCTTTTTTTACTATTTTTCACCTTCTTCTTAACCTCTTCCTCCTGATCCTCACCCTCAGTCATGATGTTAGATTGCGTATCCTGTGCAGCGCCATTCGATTCGATCAAAAAAGTTTGCTTTTTTTTCTTTTTCTTCTTTGATTGCGTCGTTGCTATTGAGCTCTCGGATTCTTTACCAAGGTTTTTCACAAATTTCATAACCTTTTATAAAAAAAGCAAAAAAAAAAGTGTGGATTTTAATTTAATAAATTTTAATTTATTTAAAATCTATATTATCGTTTTTTTTCCTAAGAAAATACTTAACGAATTATTCCTTTGTGCCTAAAAGATGTGTTTATAAAGATTAGGCATAAAAAAGAGGCGAATAGCGATATTCGCGTGCTCATAAAATAAGGATCGTAAAGAATGGGAAAGGTCCATCCTGGTGTTTTATTTTTAGGGTAGGATGCGTCCTGAATTAGGAGCCGTTTTGAGGACTCATTTGTTGGAGTGGGCGAAAGGCAAAACCGGAAGTGTCCTAACGCAAATATTAGAACCGGATGTGCCCTAATAATAAAAAATTTCTTTCGTAATAAAAAAAAAAACTAAATACCATATCACATTTTTTATTTTAACAATTTAAACGAGATAAATAAACAAGATTACAAATAATAAATATAGTTATAATTAAATATATAAATCTTTTAGAAATGTCTTACACCGAAAATGTAAATGTTTTATAAATATAATATTATATAATCTTAAAATAAAGTCTTTTTTTATATCCATTAGGTCTAATTAAACAAACACGAATTCAATAATAAAATTTAGTGTTGTTCAACGGCTCGTTTTGAGCCGATTTTTAAAAAATCAATATTTTAGCCAGAAATATATTAGCTAAGCCTCAAGATTTTGATAATATATGTCTTGACATTTGTCCCTTCTGAGCAGAATCTTCAGGCATGGGTAATATTTTTATAGATGAAGTATTGAGTTTCGCTAATAAAATTTATTGTTTTTGTATTCGATTCGAATTATTCGTTTTTTTAAAAAATATTGTATAAAAAATCATATATTTTACAAATTTTTTTTTTAATTTGTACATCTCATTTTAAAAACAGAAATAAAAAAATTATTATAATAATCTTAAGATGAAGAACGTGGCGATCAAATTATTAACGAATTGTGCGCCGATCGAATTTGGTGGAAGACATGCCATAAATCTGAGGATTTAACACGTGATTCGATGATACGTGTTTTAGAAACCCTAGATATAACAGATAGTTTGTCTAAAATCTGCTCCTAAAAAAATAACTCGGCCTCAGAAGGATGTATTTATGCATAATTTCCCTAAACATGACATCTATACAACGTATAGCATGTTTTGTCAACATACTTGATTCGTTTATAATCATTAAATGGGCAAGTTTAAGTTTCTTAACTTGTGTAGATGTGTCTAAAATAGGGGAAGTTTAAAACCACTGAATCGTGCTTTCCACCAATTAGTGGTCTGGATGAGCTGTAGTAGCAAATGACAATACAATTTTTCATTATTTTTGAACGTCCAAAATTTTTAAATCCTTCAGCAATCATATTAGGCTCCCAACCAGGATCTCTGTGAGAAAATAGTATAGGGTATACCAATGGGTCTAAATTAGGACTTAACACGTTAAGGATTACTAAATCATTCCCATTATTTCTAGGATACACTTTTACATCTCGTTTAAAGGGAGGTTCTCCATCATCATTTGTTTGAGACCTCTATATACACAAGCTAAGGAACTTAAACTTGCCCATTTAATAATTATATACGAATCAAGTATGATGACAAAACATGCTTTACGTTGTATAGAAGTCTTGCTTAGGGAAATTATGCAAATAAATATCCACTTCGGAGGCAAAGTTATTTTATTAGGAGGAGATTTTAGACAAACTTTACCTTTAATATCCAGGGCTTCTAAAACATGTATTATCGAATCATGTATTAAATCTTCATATATCTTATTTCCGTTTAGGATTTTTAAAAGTTAACATTTTTTTTCAAACAACGCTTGAATATATTACAAACTTTTATTCCTTTTGCCATGGATCTAAAAGAAGTATATTCTCAAATTTTTTTCTTTTACTATTATATTTTAGATTTAAACAAATCAGCGTGTTAAAAAGAAGTCTCATGGTAGTAGTAAAAATAGTTAACACGAGCTTGGTCATATTCCTTCTTCATCCAACATGGAATAGAGAAAAGATCCCCCTAATAATCTTATTTTACAAAGGTACTACTTAATTTTTATAAATACGGATTTTGACATTCAAAGAAGAAAAATATAAGATATTTTGATTTGGGGATATAAGAATTTCTAACAGTGATATACCAGACTAATGCTTAAAATTTTATATTATTTAATTTTTTTATATGGCTTCAAATGCGAGTGTGTTAAAGCTTAATAACCATCAAGTCTTAAGGTATAAACATGTATTATATTTAAAAAAAAAAAAATTTTCGTAGCTTTCTTCTATATTTCTACCTTCTTTTATTCATTCTTTTTTCATCTCTTTGCTCCCCTAAAACCCTCCCATCTCCCACCTTTATTCAGTAGGGAGCGAATAGCAATGCTGACTAACGGGCGATTCTGGTGTTCCCCTTAGTTATTTTATTTTTCATCTTGCCCGTCAAGAAAGACGGGTTATCATACTTTTATTACTTATTCAGTGATAGATGAATCAGAAATTAAGCATATCTTATGAAGGTGTGATTCATAAAGTTATATCTCTTTTTTGATGATCGTTGACTGGGAAATTTTTATTATTTTTTTTAAAATGTGATAATAAAGTATATATTTCGTACCATATTATACAAACTAGCTCATTACCCGTCAATCACGTGTCATTCTTGACGGGTTATCAGCTAGTAATAATAACAACAACAATAATAATAATAATACTTTTTCGCGAGCTTGATTCATTAGGTCGTGATTTTTAATTGGTTCTTCGTTATTTTCGAGAAATCTTATTCTATTTTCAACTTGAGCTTTTAGAAACTGGCCATATATAGGACAAGCAACATCTATATTCATTTATCATAATAATTATTAAAAAAATTGTTAAGGGCTGGACAAACTTTTATAAAAAAGTTTTATGGGCTAAGGGGGGGAAGACAGATGCTTCAAAATCATTTTAGGTGCCAAAAATCTTTGTAAAAAATCTTCATGATTTCACTGTAATTAATTTTCGGTATTATTTTATTCGATGTAGCAAATTAATTTTTTTTTATAGTTAGAGATGCATAAAAAAATATTCAAATATAGAAAACGAGAAAAAAACAGAAATACGCATGCCTAATAGTGAGAACAAATTCAGCGTTTCAAACGCTGCGTTGCAAGAACCAATAATGCCTTTCAAACGGCCTCTTGCAAATTGGTAAAAATTATCGTTTGGAGTTAGCAACCATTTTTTAAAAAAAGCTAACAGGCTTGCCTTTTCAATACTTTTTTTATTCTTCGTTTTGTAATATTATATAAAAATTTAATATAAACAACTTACTTATAATCCTAAAAAGGAATATTCAGAAATTAAAAGAAATAAGAACGCAGACGATAATAAAATTTTCAAAGACAAATCCTTTTTTTTTTAAATTTATTTAAAATTTTAAATCGACGGATATTAATAAAAAGACAACTTCAATTTAAACAAGGGACACGTTACGTTTTTTTTAATTAACAATTACGGCAAAACGTAAGCGCTCAATTTGTGCGCACTATATTTTCGTAATTTTTAAATTTAAAAAAAAACGTAACACAACACATCCCTAGTTTAAATTAAGGGTTGCCTTTTTATAAATATCGTCAATTCAAGTTCTACAAAAGGATATGTCTTTGGAAATTATATTTATCGTCTGCCTTTTTATTTTCTAAATATTCCATTTTAAGATACAAGTAAGTTATTTATTTTTTTTTATACATTATATATAATATTACAAAATGAAGAATCAAAAAAAGTATTTGAAAAAAGCATTTTTTTAAAAAAAATATTACAATTTAACAAATTGAGCACGTTATAAAAATGATTTATGATGATTAAAAAAAAATCCTTAATAAAATATTCGTTGATCTCATGAATTTTATTCTCCGCGAGGATTGTGGGAGTAGGTGTTGTTAAAAAGTCCGATTCTGGTCTATTTTAAAAAATGGCCCTTAAGATTGTATGTTATATAAGCCTAAAGATTTTTCTCTTAGCTGGCAGAAATGTTTGGACATCTAATTTGCCAAATCGCGCTGCTTACATAATTTTATATCCGTTTTGAAAAATCGACTCAAATCGGACATTTTGACAACACTATGTGGTAGTAATAAACAATTTTTTCTCACCCCTCCCCCTCCTCCCCCCCCCCAAAAAACGGTACATCCCTTTTAAATTAAAACCCATCATATATATATTGAATAATTAATTCTCAAACCAGAAAAGCAGTCGATTCTGGAAGCGATGGCGCATTTGTTGGCCAAAAATCTTGAAATCTTTCCTTTATTCGTGGCTCCGGTTTTGCTGATGAAAGGCGAGTGAAACAGAAGTCCGTATTTGGGGGTATTGCCACTACGACTCTTTAGGGCTCTGGATAAAATCGGCAAATTATACATGATTTTTTTAAAAAAAATAATAATATGAGAATAGGGGGGGGGGGTAATATGATTGTTCCCAAACTCTCAAGAACCCTTAACATAAGGCGATGATGAAAAACGCTTTAAAGTGCGCGTTTTCCCATCTTTTAAAGGGAAATAAGAAGAGCTTATGACACCGCCTGTGTCTACTTATGTACATTAATCTTAGATTTTATACACAAAATGTCAGTTTTGAGAGAATGACCGATTAAAACAAAAAGCCGAAATTATGGTATGTTAAAACACTTCCCTTTTAAAAGGTGTCAATGAAGGTCTAAATATTAGGCACGATAAAATATTTAGATAATCATTGGCATTAAATTAGGCATCAATGTCTTGCATGGAGGAAACATACCACAAATTTTAAAAACTACACAACCAATAGAGTTGAAAGCCACAATAGAATATTAAAGGCTAGCATTAAGCCATATTCTTCATTTAAAAAATTTTTTGTCAATTTTTCAAACTGCTTAAAATGTCTAAGTTTAGAGATAAAAAACACAAAATCATAAACCTTAATATGACTTCCAATACCACGCATCACTTACAAATTATGCCTTATAATTGTATTAAAAGAGCTTACATATTCAAGTTATATTTGCTTTGAAAAGATAGATGATATAAATTTTATTATTGATAAAGAAATATATGAGATTACATTAACTCATTGCAGCTGTGGATCTATAGAATCTATGTTTTTACCATGCTGACATATATTTGCTAGGAGGGCCAGTGAAAATATAGATCTATATGATGAAAATTTATGCCATGCAAGATGGAAAAAATCTTATTCTAAAATGATAGAGAATTTTAATGAAGATGGTGGTAAGAATATCATGATTGTTCCATATCTCCCAAAGATAAAAAATTTGACATCAAGTCAATAATACAATAATATTAAAAAAGCATTAAATGATATCCCAGGAATTGTTTGTGATAGACCTCATAATTATTATGAAACAATTCTCCAACAAATCAATATATATATAAGGATTTTATATTTCAGCTATAGCAGAAGAATCACCTGTGGTGGCTAAATTTTGACTAATCCTATAATATATAATCAATAAATGTAAATTGATATATTAACTTATCTTTGGAATTTCATTATCATATAACACCTTTTTAAATATATTGATTTGTTGTAGAATTGTGCCGTAATAATTACGAGGTCTGTCACAAACTATTCCTAAGATATCATTTAATACTTTCTAATATTGTTGTATTTTTGATTTTAGGTTAATTTTTTTATTAGGAAGATATGGAACAATCATGATATTCTTACCACCATCTTCATTAAAATTCTCTGTCATTTTAGAATAAGATTCTTTCCATCTTGCATGGCACAAATTCTCATCGTATAGCTCTATATTTTCACTGGCCCTCCAAAGCAAATATATGTCGGCATGGTAGAAACATAGATTCTATAGATCGACAGCTGCAATGAGTTAAAGTAATCTCATATATTTCTTTATCAATAATAAAATTTATGTCATCAATCTTTTTCAAAACAAATATAACATGAATATGTAGTCTCCTTTAATACAATTTTGAAAGCATAATTTGTTAGTAATGCATGGCATAGGAATTGTTCAGATGATGAATGGAATCTAGATGAATTGGAAGTCATATTAAGGTTTATTATTTTGTGCTTTTTATCTAAACTTAGATATTTTAACTAGTTTAGAAAAATTGACAAAAAAATTTTTAAATGAAGAATACGGCTTAATACTAGCCTTTAATATTCTATTGTGGTTTTCAATTCTATTGGTTGTGTAGTTTTTAAAATCTGTAGTATGTTTCCGTCATGCAAGATATCAATGATACCTAATTGGATGCCAATGATTATCGAAAATTTTTGTACCTCAAATAAATTAAAATCTTTAAGCTGATTATAAAATTGATTGTAATTGTCAATTGAACTCGCGTACACAATTTCTCGCAGGTGTCTAAGGTACTATCTATTCACTGCTTATATGCCTTTTATTTGTTAATTTCTCACCGGAATGTTTGCAATATATAAATAGGCATATTTCTAAGGATGCTTGTGTGAAGGCATCACTATATGCATGGCGGTCAGCAAAATCCTTGTCACTCACAATTGTTCTTATTTCTGTGTGGTGAGGGATTATATTTTTTATGCATAAGGGTCATGTTATAAACAGTATTATAACATTCTGAATTTACATGTCACATGCCACATATATGGCTACTTCCTTCGCCATCAATTATACTTAACAAAAATACTGACATGAAGTAATTGTTCAATTTATATGTCGCGTCTATGAAAACAACTTTATGCGTCAATCATTTTTCGCATACATCATGATTCTCCATCAATTGAACCAACTGTTCTAGGCCATTCAATTTATCGTAAATGTTGTCATCCACATTTTGACTCAATTTTTAAATTGTACAAATCAGCAGCTGTTACAACTTTACCCAGCATGTTAAAATGAGTAATTATCTAACATTTCCATCAAAACTGAGGGCAACATTAGTTAAATGATTGTCCAATAAATTGGCCCTTTTTTGTTTGGGTATGTTGTTAAATTCCACAACATCTATATAAAAAAAAATTTAAACAATATTCAGATTTAATAAAGATGAACTTAAAATTTAACAGTCCAGTCATATACTCAAAAAGAATAGTAAAATAAATAAGAATTATAAAGGTTCATCTTTAATACCAGAGACCAACAGAGGTGAAATCTTGAGAAATATTGTATGACATGTACACATTTACCCAGAGTTGTTAATTTAATGAATCTCTAGAAGTTTATAGCAATATTTATTTCATAATGGATGGCCACAAAAATTTTAAATTATTTATTTTGACATTAGGCAAACCTTACATGAACATTTTAAGCTATGGGTGCGTAGATATATTTGAAAAATATCACCTCTGGTTTTATTAGAATAGATAAATCTTTTAAAACCATTAATAAATATTTAGATAAAATTATAAAACAAGATATAATAATACCCAATTCATGATTGTGGGTTTTATCGAATTTTTCTAACACAAATATGTACCCATACTTATTAGAAAGATAGATAAAATAGTGAGGAATATATTATATATTTAAAAATATTTGCTAAATATACTTATTTATAATTAAAATTTAGAATTTTAAGAAAAATCACTGTTAAATACGCGAAAAAAAATTTAAAAAATAATCCTCCACAAACATATGATCAATATCTTTTAATATATATTTGCGGTGGTTTCATTTTATATGACGAACTCTTTTAGAAAGATATAAAGGTCGAAAGGTGGTTTTATATTTGCACTACTGCGAACGAAAGGATTAATCCATCAATGTATAAGTATATGAGGGAGGTAATTATCACACACATTTTATATCATAAGTATAATCATGTGGTAATAACTTAAATAATAATAAATGTAACCTAAAAAGAGCCTTTTCAGCACCCAGGATTTGAATCGTAGAGGCGGGACATTTGGCTAAATTTGATAGACTACCGGCATGCGATATTAATCTAGCACTCACCTACGTATTCATAGTATATAGAATTAAATAATACGAATTAAAACAGTAAATATATTTTTAAAAAAATGAAGAAATATAAATAGCCTTAACTTCCCAAGGCAGAAAATCTTTTCAAAACAGTAAAAATAAATAAAAAATTTAACATAGTTTAAGAGAAATTAAGCTGCGTTTCTTTATTTTTCTCGTTTGAACAAAAAAAAAGCCTTTTTGTTTAGAAATTTATACAAATTTCGTCCTGTAACTTAAAATAGAATAGCTTTAGTCAGCAAACCATTTCCAGCTCAGGGTTTTCTGCCCATCAATTTTCAAGAAGGCCAGGTTCAGTCAACCGGATCCCAAATAAGTCATTTTTATTACACTATACAAAAAAAAATGGTTCATTTTGTGGACCAATTTTCAACCCATTTACCGTTTAAGCCTATCGTTAGTGCTAAAATGTTTATTGCTATAGCTCTATAAGTTGCAAAGATATAATCGTTCAAGTTTAAGAAAATATAGCGTCCTTCATAACTATACATAAAAATTACTCGAAAAAAAATAAATGATGGACCTAATTTGGTATAGACCCTAAAATAAATCTGAGAGGTCTTGTAAAGATCGAATTTTTAGCGCGTTTAACCCTCTAGTGTTGTTAAATGGTCCGATTTTTCCAAAACGACTAGCTCAATATTTAAGCCGAAAAATATTATGCAAATCCGAAAATTTGGCTCATAGAAGATAGAAAAGCTCGGACATCTAAGGAACCCGTGAGGTATGAGTCAAATTTTTTAGTTATCTCAGCACAGATTTTTTTAAAATAAATTTTAGTCACTTTAAATAATTTAACTTATGTTGAAAGATCGATGAATGTTAAATTATCCATTTATGGGTTTCTATCGGGTTAATTTGAATATAGTATTCGTTGGTGTCATTTATTGTGATGACGTTTATTTCTAAAACGATGGAGGGGAAAATTGCCATTTGTTGAATTTACCCTGGAACTTAAAAATATTTTTTAAATCTCTTAAATTTGCGTATTCATTTGGTTGTAATATATTTTTATTTATGGCTAGTTTAAGTGGATTTGATTTAAATAAATGAGGGATAAAAGACACACTAGCGAAATCACAAATTAAGGATTCGCCAGAATCTTAAGGAATCAATGTAAAACAATTTTAGCCTATCCTCGAGAGATGAAAGGCAATTGGTGGTGGAGTATGTGAGTTGCAGTTAAACCATGACTGATTAAGTGATTTACTGTCGTGTGATTCTGATGTCTTTCCTGACTGTACAAACCGTAACTGTGCCTGCAATCGAGCGGCAATGTAGATATGAGGATGAACGATATCACCAACCTAAACCAATGAAAACTCTCAATTATTAACCAGATAGGGGATTAATCACGTCTAAAAGTACTTCCCATAATTAAGACTGTCATCAGACAGAAGAAACTTGTAAAATTTGATTGTTTGGTTATAACCTTGTAAAAATTTTGTAAGAGGGGTTAAAAAAAGTTGGTTGTAGGAATCGTAGGAAAAACTGTGCTTGGAGGAATATTGGCTTTCCAATTTATTCTATAATCTAGAAGCGTTGAGGAAAATAATATTATTAAGCTTAATGGGAAAGGATTAAAACAGCCCAGTTTCAATGGTTGTAGTGAAAGAGAGAGTTGAATATAAAACAAACTCTAATTTCCTTTAAAAAAATAATACCAGTATATATTCAAAATGTTTTACCGTATCCCCCAGCAATTCCGCGAGATTTGGGGCGACGCATTTCATTTTATCGTTCAGGTAGACCGATAATTTTTTCCTAAATTCGCCTAACGCTATGACTCTGTCGGCGAATTTTCCGATCATATTCAAATCGAGGGGCGATATATCCATTCCTTAATGGTTTATAAATAACATTTTAAGGTATCTATTCCATCTTTGGGTAACATTACCCTGCAATTCACAGTTAGTAAGAATTCGAGGTAAAGTATGACAAGATATGATATATTACATTAATTTTTGTATACTTTGCTGCACATTCGTGCTAACTGGCTAGAAATGATGTGTTAAATGAATTAGGACAATGTCGTAATTTACCCACTTAATCTGTAAGATCAAATATATTATTGCTATTATAAAGAAACGATTTGTAATATTGCCTGTTATAAATAGAAGTGGAATAAAATAAATCGCATATCAGGAAAAAAAACGCGCTAATACACAAATAAAAACGAATTGAACGATTTACTTACTCCAAGAAAAAGGAAAAAAACTTGAATCGGTTTTCAAAAACAAATTTAAAAAAACTTTCGTACCCATCGATGATTTGGCGATCTTTAGGATATCTTGGATCAGGATTAAATTGTGATTTAGTATTTCGGCCAGCTTACTTTCGAGTTCCTCGCTGTTGGCAGTGTTATTAAATATTAATTTTCTGTCCCCAACACATTTAACTACTCGTGCGTAAAGTAAATTATCTGGTACAAGTTTGTAAAGCTCTGGAAAATGATAGGAATACCATTCTCTAAAAAAAATGTATATGAAAAAGGTAATTAGTTAATTCATATTCGAAATGAATATCGTCAGACTTCTACAATGGGAGTGATATGATGGGTAAGAGGAGGGTTATGACACAAGATATTCATTAAAATTGAGAGGTTTGGGGGGGGGGGGAGTGTAGAAATCTCGGGGCGTTGCTAGCCCTAATTATTTTTTCTCTGCAAAGAGTTTTAAAATAATATATATTTAAACAACGTGATCACAAATATTCATTTTACAAAAAAAAATTTTTTTTTAATCTTGTAAAGATTTCGGGAAACATTTTAAATAGCAAGGAGACAAAAATGTGTGACCAGATTGAATTCATAATTTTCCAAGAATACAAACAACAAAATGGCTAAATTTCCTTTACAAAATTAACGGGCTTCCGTTATATTCCGAATCACGTTTAAGTGGTCCTTAATACTCAAAATTTTTAAATATAGATAGTGTGCAACATTACTTTAATGTGTTGCCACATCATTACCCTCTATTATTCCCAACTTTATCTTAAATGGCAGTTAATAACGTTACTTTCCTCGTGGAGTCATCGTATAAATAAATATTCTCTCTTTTTTTAAACCTAAGCCTCATGCAAAATTTGTTAATATCTTTGTCCAGCTGATCGAGGATGGCGATGGATTGAACTATCATATTATCGACTCGATTCACGTTGAACTTAATTTTGGCGCGGGAATAGCTATGAGCGAGACCCAGCTGTGATTTGGATTCCTTCGACTCGTCAATGAGACTGTTGCTTTGGTTCAGGTTTTTAAAAAATTTGCTAAAGTGTTGCCTTATTCCTTGAGGGATGAAAAGTGAGCGTGTATTGGCATCATAAAAAAAAGGAAATAATTGTTATAATTTTGAAATAACTAATAATTAGTCCATTATAGCCTAACGTAATGCTCTGAGGTCTCATTTTTAATTTCTGAGTCAAAATAACTTACCATAAACAATTTATTCTTCTCAAAAAAACCTTTTGAATTATACTCCAACTTATTATTATAGATTAAAAATTTTGGATGCCCATTCTCGTTCATCTACTAATACCTTTTTTTTAAACTATTAATGCATGGGTAGAAGAACAAGCCAAAAAAAACCTAGATTTTTTTCTTCCAAAAAAAAACAACTCTTAGTTGAATTGTCAATTAACCATATTTTTCGAAGATAAAAAAAATCCCTGATTTATGAAGTGGTCATAACTGGCCTGGTTGCTTTTACGCTTACAAACCTCTCATGATATCCGGAACGAGTCCAGAAAATATGCAATTGACGCTGAGGCTAACGTTTTCGTTGATCGAATTGCCCAATTTACTATCGGAGATCGCGAGCAACACTTTTCTCCTGTCAACACTTGATTCGATTTTTGGTAGATGGGTGTCCAAAAATTCGTACAAGTCCTCGTGAACCAAGCCTAATACAAAATGATCAAATAAATATCCGTTAACATTCTTTTGCACAACTAAGTTAGAATAGCCCCAAGCGGTTAAAAATCAATATTTTATCACCCAGGCCTCGAGATTTCCGTTAATAAATGTCCAAACCTAAGTGCCATCTTGGATCTAAATCTTTAAGCGCGCGTAATATTTTTTCCGGAGTTAGCCGTTTTTAAAAAAATTGGCTCAAATCGAGCCGTTTAACAACACTACGAGCCAGAGATAAGGGTTTGGGAAAGTTGGTTCATCCCGACTAGTGTTGTTAAACGGCTAGTTTTGAGCCGATTTTTAAAAACGGCTAACTCACTATTTCCCCCAGAATAATATAATTCAAGCCTGAAGATTTTGCTTGTAGAAGGAACCAAAGTTAGGACATCTATTAGCGAAATCTCAAAGCTTAGGCTATATTTTTCAGGTTAAAATATTGAGTTGGCCGTTCTTAAAAATCGGCTCAAAATGAGCCATTTAACAACACTAGTCGATTATTAATATTAGCGAAATTTCGAAATTCTTGGAGTTTGGAAAACAAAAAAATTTTTTAAATTTAAAATGATGATTATTTCAATCCTTCAATCACAAATTTAGGTTATATGTGGATAGAATGGAAGCACTTCCTGTATATTATCAAACCGTTTTTTTAATATATAAATCCCGACCCACATCTCTCTGACCCTTTAACCCCACCATATTTCTTTAAGTTCAGGCATCTCGGGGACTACATTTCATTTCATGATTACCCAAAAATTCAATTTTAAAATTTGACAGCTGTCTATTCAACTTTAGGTAAAAATAGTATAATACATAAAATGTTTGAAAAAAAACAGTTCCCCTACTTCTGGAGCCAGAGAATAAAATATGCCATTGTTTGGTTTAAAAAAGAACTGAACCTTCCGATATGTGATTAATATTTTCCAGGGCATTCTTGGCCGATTTGAAGGGCGAAAACGCTACCAAATGAACCGTGCTGACGAATTTCGTAAAGTCAGTGAGGTTATCGCGCAATTGTTCGGTCAAAAGGGCCATACCTATCTCCTCGTATTGCTTGACCTTGAATAAGGCGTAACCCATGGCGTGTTCAAACAGGATGAACATCGAAGCCTAATTTTTTATTTGTTGTAAATTTAAGAGATCAAAGATTATTCGCGAAAAAAAAAACGTTTTGGCGGGAATTATGGACATCTGACTTTTTTTCCAAATGCGATCTCTATCCTGAGAATACTTTTTTGAAAAAAAAAGAAAGAAAAAAAAAGAAAAAAAAAGAAGAAAAAAAAAGGAAGAAAAAAAAAAGAAAGAAAGAAAGAAAGAAAAAAAGTTTAAAGTAGTCGCATAGCTTACTATTGTTTTTTTAAAAGTAAGTTATTTCAAAAAAATCAAAAAAAAATAATAGATTGTGTCCTTCTAGTTCGTTTTTATTTATAAACAGTAGTCAGTTTCGCTGGATATATAGTTCAACCTCTAAATAGCCTTTAAAAAGAGATTATTTAGATTTTCGCGGAGGATGAAGCGTCTTTGTGCGACTAAATATATATATGATTTAACGTACGTATGTTTAGCGGTAAAGCGTTTTTCTCTTGGCAATGTCACATTTTTTTTCATTTTTTCCGGAAATACATAGTTCAGCATATTTAGAAAACCTATCAGACCGTAGTTACGGCCAAACCTGACCCCCAGAAAATATCTTTGGCGCCCATTCCGCTCCCCCCCCCTAAAAAAAAATTTAAAAAATTTTAATTACCTTTAAAAATTAAAACTAAATGAAAACACAAACACGTTTTCTCGAAAAATATTATTTATTATTTAATTTATACAAAATAATAAACAAGAACATATTTAAAATATTAGTTATTAAAATATCCATTCACTCGTTTCATGAAAAAATAGCAAGTTATTTCCACATTTTATATTCCTCGTCAAAAAAAAAACCACAGCTTGAACATGGTAAGTTTCAGGGCCGTAGCCAGGAATTTTCAGCTAAGGGGGGGATCAGCTGCTAACTATGGGGGGAGCGCTATAATTCTAGAATAAAACAAATAATCACAGAAATATTTTGCTATTTTTTATTAAAAATTAGTTAATGTTATGAATACAAAATAATACTATAATTTTATAATAATAATATGCCGTTTTATATTTTTAAATTTAAAACATAAATGGAATTAAAAGATAAATTCTGTATTATTCACTTTATCATAAGCCATTAAATACTACATTACGTTTACATTGATCTTTCATCGACTCTCTAGTGCTCGATAGAACTCTCTTTAGTATAGAGAAGTGAGGCCTCACAAGAAGCCGTTGATACCCCAATGATGATGGGTGCCGAGTAGCATTTATACAATTCTTTGAATGCAAGATGATATTTTTTTTATACATAATATTATAGGATATTTTCAAGATTACGTGTTTCCTTAACTTCTGCAGCTAATAATCCTTTAGCTAATTTCATTTAATGATGCAACGTTTCCAAATTTAAGTTTAATAATGATTCTAATGGGGCCATTTTATCTGAAATAAAGTAATCAGGGTCAAAGGGGAACAATGTTCTAAATCATGATCAAACATTTAAAAAAATGATCAGACAAAGTAATCAATAATTTCATGATTCCTTTTCTTAAGGAACTCCAATTGGAGTCTTTTTCACAATCAAATTGTAATTTGGTCTTGACTAAAAAATCTTGAAAATTTATAGGCGTTTTACGTACCCTAGATGATTTTTGGGGAGTGAGATTCAATTTTGCTAAAAGTTTTTCAGCCATAATTCTATTCAAATCGAAAGAATTATCGCTTCCCTTATTTTTTAATATATTGATAGCGGAGAAATCAATACAATTTTTAGCAACCACTAAATTAGTACAAACTGACTGTAGGTACTTATTTAGTGGATCTATTGTTATTAATATCTCATAGATTATTGGCTAATATAACGTAATTCATTTTAACGCATTGAGGTAAAAGACCAGAGGCCTTCATCTTGAATCATGAGTGGAAATCTCTGAATTAAGAGTTTAGAAAAGTAAAATAATACTTCACCAATAGCCTCAAAACTCTCGTAAAAAATGCGAGATGTTTCTAATATAAAATGCATTAGATAAATTTAAAAAAATTAGAAATGATAACGATATTATTATACCAATTTTGAACCACAAGATGCAACATGTGGTCACTCCTCCATTTTGGCCAGACATAACGTTTGCACCTTTATATGCCTGGCTTATCTTTGAATTAATATTAAAGTCATTAAGTTGCTTTAAAATGCAATCAGTAATGATTTCGGCCGAAAAAACATTGTAAATTAATAATTCCTATTAAACTTTCTTGGATTTTTCCAGAAGAAATATAGCGAATAATTAATACTAAGGTTCTCACAATCTGATGCATCTTTTGCCTCATCAGCCTTAAGACATAAAAAAAAAGGGCATCAGACCTTTGTAACATTTGTCTGAAATATATTCAAGCACCCATAACTGCCATGAGTACTTCGTTTTGAATCTGAGGGTGATGCATGTTGAGCATTTTGGGGATATTAATTTCATAATTTCATTTAATTCTGGATCTTTTTGGAATGGTGTGCATGAAAACATTGCTATAAATAGTCCTTAAGAATAAATTATGCTTTCATCATTTGCAGCATCGGTAATTTTTGTCAAACTAGTCGTCCCATGAAAAGGTAGCCCCTTGTATGCTAAGGAAATGCGTCGAATCAAATATTGATTTAAGATGGTAACGATTACGGTTAATTTGTTGGCTACCCAAAATCGTTGTTATCTCAGTATTACTTATTTATAATTTAGATTTTTATCATCCCGAATTGTTATTGAATTTAAATTAGCTTATGAACTTTCATGTTTTACCAGTCCCTTCTTTGCAGCTAACGCAATTTTTCCAGATTATTCTATTTATATATATATCTTTTGACAATATCGATAGGAAAGAAGATGATTATGCATTATTACGTTAGGATTTTAAAACAAATATAGAAAATGAAGAAGTGGTTCAATCGTCTACCAGCTCAGTCTCTCATTGTCAGGTTGCAACTAATAATTGATTTATAAATATAAAAAATATTATTTTTTCTTCTTTGATCTTTCAAAATATAATGTTTATGACCTTTTTATCAATATTGATAAAACCAAAAATAAAGCAATCATATAAAATAGACAATAATTAATAACTGGTTGTGTTTCTCTAACTGGTTTTGAATACTAAATATCTACAATTTTACTGGTGAATATTTGATAACGTCGATCAGGGCTGGGCACTACAATATAGCAAATACTCTTGTCACTAATTATTATTATAATATATAACCAGTTATTTTAAAATTATGAAGAAACAATCAGTCATTAATTCTTATTTTAAGTTAAACAAATGTCAAGCAACATCACAACCTCTACAAACTACTAGTGTTAATACATTAGAAATTTCTGAAATTGATTCTGCTCATAGTTAGTATAAATTTCTATTATTATTTTTTTGTGAAGAATTATTTAACCATGATTTACATGATATATGAGCAAAAACTAATATCTATAGGGTTGGGTTGGGCAATATTTATATATTATTTCATATATATAAGATAAGATGAGAGATAAAGATAGAGACATTTATTTTTAATATTATTATTTTAGTAAAGTAATAATTATTACAATAAATATATTCACTCATATTTCAAGATATGAAGTTGAAGCTAATAATCTAGATCAAGATCCTCACTACTCTCAGGTAGAGGAAGATGGTAAATAGTTTAAAACTTAACCCAGATTTTTCCTATTTATATATTTTTGACAATATCAATAGGAGTATGTGATTATGGTGATTCATTTATTACATTTTGATTTTAATACAAATATTGAAGATGAAGAAGAGGCTCAATCAGCTAGCAGCTCAGTCTTTCGTTGTCAAGAGGCAACTAGTAATTGATAAAAATATAATGTTTATGATCTTTTTATTTTACTTGATAATGTTCATCAGGGTTTGGGCACTACAGTATAGCAAATACTTGTTAAATACAAGATAAGAGAATTTTGTATGTGTTCATTTTCAGCATGCCCTTCCCTTCACCCATCCTGATGACCATTATTATGACCCATTCCCATCTTATAATTTATTAATAATAATATTTCTAGTGTCAAAAAAATCCTCTAATAATTCAAGTTCAATTCAAATCCCAGGTGACCTTGGCCAGAATGAACGAAAGCAAATCTAATTAAACAATTACATGAAAAAAGATATATATGCAAGGCAAAGATCATTTCAAAAATCATGGTACAGAGGTCGAGACTGGTTGGAGTACAGTGTAGAAGCTGACGCTGCTTTTTGTTTTCCATGTAGGAAATACTTGTGTAGTCCAAGTGATGAATTTGGACAAAAGGGATTCAGAAATTGGAAAAATGAGTTAGCTGCCAATAAAGGACTGCTAAAACACGAGAGCTCAAAAGCTCATTTAAATTCAATTACAATATGGCATGATAAAAATCGAAATATAAATAAGGGTACTGAAATAACAGTTGGGAAGTCAACAAATTAATTGTAATCAATACTATATTAAATCAATATTTGATTTGATGCTATTTTTTAGCATACAGGAGCTACCTTTTCGTGGCACTGGTTCGACACAAATTATAGATGCAGCAAATGATGAAAAAATAATTTATTCTTCTGAATTATTTATAGCAATGTTTTATACACGATCGAATTGAATAAGATTATGAAATTTATACCCAAAAGTGCCCAATATACATCACCTCATATTCAAAATGAAGTAAATCATGGCAGATATGGTGCTTGAATATATTTCAGATAAATATAACAAATGTGAAATGCCTTTGTTTGTTTTAAGACTGATGAGACAAAAGATGCATCAGGTTGCGAAAATCTGAGCATTTTCTTCTGGAGAAATCCAAGAAAATTTAATAAAAGAAGCAATAATTCTTTTGACTTGATTAGAGTTAAAGATAAAAAACCTTAAGTAAAATTTAATCTCACTCCCCAAAAATCATCATGGGTACATAAAACGCCTATAAATTATCAATATTTTTTAGTTGAGACTAAATTAGAATTTGATTGTAAAAGACTCCATCTTTAATAAAGAATTTTATGAAATTATTGATTACTTTGTTGAACATTTGTTAAATTTTCGATCATGATATAACATTGTCTCCCTTTGACCCTGATTATTTTATATCAGATAAAATGGCTTCATTAAAATCATTATTAAACTTAAAATGGAAACTTTACATCATGAAATGAAAGTAGAAAGGATTATTAGCTGCAGAAGTTAAAGAAACAGATAATTTTGAAAATTATTATGTATAAAAAAAAATATCTCGCATTCAAATAATTTTATAAATCCAACTCATTAGTCAATCATTGTGGTATCAACAGCTTCTTGTAAGGCCTCATTCTCTACACTAGTGAGAGTTCTATCAAGCACTAACGTAATGTAGTAATAATGGCTTATGAAAAAAGAATAATAAAGAATTTATATTTTAATTCATTTTTGTTAAAATTTAAGAATAAAAAATCTTGTATAATATTATAATTTTATTATTTTGTATTCAGATGAAAATTCCTGGCTATGGCCCTGATACCTATCTCATGAATTATAGACAATTTTACCTTTAAACCTCTGAATCTTTGATAATTTATATAAAGAAATCTATATAAAAAACTAAAATAATTATATCAAGTTCAAAAGTTTGTGGTAGAATTGTCTGAACTTCATAAGGTGTAAGTTATTCCAAACATGATGAAATACATTTCCAGTAAATTCGAATTCTAAAATTCAAAAAAAATATTACATTTGACGGTAACATACAAAATATATATATTATATATATATAACAAAAACCAAAATAGGGTGTTATTAGTTCAAAATATGTTTGGCCTGAACACAACAGAAATAATTTTCAATAAATAAGATGAGCCAGGGTATGTCCCAAGTGCCGAAGGATATTAAACAACTTTGTGATACATTTTTGAAAATAATTTTTAATTTAACTAAAAAAAAATTGTCAAGGTTAAATTTTAAAATCAAGTCCAGATCTGATCAAGGTCAAAAAAATATCTGTCAAAGACTTATCAACCCAAGTTGAGCCAGATCAATCCATGCCGTGATCTATTAAAAAAAGGAATCTCGGTTATCTAGAACATAAAGCTTCAAAAGGAAAGGACATGGACAAAAAAGATACTACACAAAAATACCCCTCCCCCCCCTAAGAAATTTTTTATCATTTATTTTTTTACATCATTCGCATTGTAATAATCATATACTTTTTAATGGTATTTTTAGCCAGTTTCTATTTATCCAAAGTACTTTTGTCCAGAATTGTGATATGGTTACTTCGAAAAAGAATAATTTTTTCTTAAAAATTGATTTACCCTTCAGTGGATTTTAAATTGGATTGGGGAAAATAAAGAATGGCAATTGTGTTTTATTTCAAGAAAATTTATTTTATTGAATGTGAATTTTTGGAAATTCTTTAAAAATTTCTGTTTTTGTATTAAAACCCTAATGAGAAGATGAGTTGTCATCCCATATCAAATGAGCTAAAAATATGGATTTTTGCCCAACCCTTCCAATTTTGTTTGAAGGTTATTTTGTCAACCTCAGTGAATTTTAATAATTTATATTGATCATGAATAGAATAGTTGGGATTATAATTTATACAAAATAGTTGGAACAAAAAAAGAGATAACAATGATTTTACTATAAGAATAAATGATTAATCAATGTTTATAGACTTTTACATTGAAGAATATAACTAAATAATTAAGTCTAAAATGATAAATTAATTAAAATTTGATATTTTTTTAAATGACTTATTTTATGGTATAATAAAAATTTTAAAAATGTATAACAAATAAAATTAGAATAGTGGAAGCAATTATAAATAAAATACTTATTTTTTTAATAAAGAAAAGAAAATTTAGAAAATTTTTAAGAAATCTCCACTCGTGCAGAAGTATTCTCAGTCATAAAATTCATAGTTCCTCCTTATAGATAAAATTAGACAGAAGATAATCTTGGAATAGTAATAAATTTTTAAAAAACATTCATCTTTACATACTTATAAAATATTAGTTAGTGAAAATGTTGCATCAGTTTTTAAAGGATGAAACAAAACCAATATTATCATTTTTGTGAACCAACCCTGAAGCCTTTTTTTATCTGAACCTTAATTGATATTGATTAAGATTAGAATCTCTGGACTTTACAAAAATTTTAAAAAAATAATGAAAGTGATTTTTAACTTTAGCTCTAATAGCTGCAAGTGCAGAGTGGGGATTTCTTTAAAAATGAATATAACCTTATTGTAGAAACAATATGAGTCTTAATCAATTACTTGGTCTATGATTGATTTCAATTTAAAAAATTTTTATATAACAATAACTTTTATCATTAGTACTCAGTCATTTTACTAAAAAAGCATAGAAATTCTGTTTCATTTATAACTTTTTTGTATGGTTTTGCAAATAAAAAAAAATAAGTTGCTTTCATAGTAAACTTAATGCTTTGTTGCAGCTATTTGATATTAGAAGATATAGTAGAAAAACATATTAATAAGGCCATCAATGGAAAAAAAGGTGTTTTGAAATTTAATTTGTTAAATGGTTCTGCAGTGAGACTGATTACCTATAGACCAGCCTGGCCAGACAACTGGTGTAATGTCAGAATCACAATTCTTAAAACTTTGAATTAGGAAAATTATGTCATCTTTATTTATAAAAAATATTATAGACTGCAATATATTGAAAAATATTTAAGGACTAGGAAAAAAACTTGATTAAATTTCTAAGGGAAAGTTTAGGCCAACCTTTAATATATATTTTATATGCAATATTAAAATTTTAAAATAAGCGAGAAATTAAATTAAAAGTTTTAGAGTTAGTAATATCTGTCAAGATTATTTGAAAACATGTAAATGTCAGAATCACAACTCTTAAAAATTTGAATTAGGAAAATTTATGTCATCTTTATTAATAAAAAATATTATAGACTACAATATAATGAAAAATATTTAAGGGCTAGGAAAAAAATTTTATAAAAATTAAGGGAAAGTTTGAGCCATCCTTTAATATCTATTTTATATGCAATATTAAAATTATAAAATAAGCAAGAAATCAGATTAAAAGGTTTAGAGTTAGTAATATCCGTCAAGATTATTTGTAAACAAGTATTATATAAAGCATGTCAAAACATGGAAAATTAAAATCTTATGAAAATATAACATTTAAATATTCAATAAAAAATACTAATAAACTTCTTCATCTAAGGAAGCAACTTTAACATCCGCACTTTCAGTTATTAATACGTTTTTCTTCTTCTTCATTATAATAACTAGCTGGCTTGTATCTAGTAGATTTTAAAAAAATTTCAAAAAAAAATAATTTGTAATGCTATTTTTAATATTATTCTCGGATAAATTTCATTTATTAAAAATAAAATAATTAAAACGTGTAAAATTTAATTGAATTTTTTCTTATAAAATATGTAAAATAACATGAATATGTGCCGGTGAATAATAAATAAGATTTGATAACTTTATCAAATAAAAAATATATTTTATTAACTTTATTTACTAATTTCTTTTTCTTTTCTTAAGGTATTTATACGTTTTATAAAATATAAATTAGAATATAAAACGAAATATAAAAAATAAAATAATATAAAAAAAGTAAAGTTAAACCGAAAGTTATATAAATAAGGTTACGCAAAATAATAAGTAATATAAGTTGAATTACAAAAATAAAAAGTTAAGTTGAAAAGATAAATTTGAATTCATAAAATGTAATATAAAAATAAAATTAGATTACAAAAATATATAATTATAATAACGCAACATTCTCCCTCTTCTGATAATTTCATCGGAGAAGACACAGAGAGTTTGTTGTCCAAGTGGTTTATCGTTTTGGTAATCAAGTTGTATCACAAATCATCATAACGTTGGCTTGTCCAATCGTTGGTTTGTATAAATCGATTTTGCACGTTGGTTTGTTTAAATCGCAAGCTTGATATCCATATCGTAAATTGTCTCCATTAATCATAGCTTGTTTGATAGTACTCAATTGTTAATTGTCATTTTTCCGAAATTGTTATTATCATAAATAAGTTGCGAATAAGAAATAATAGTTCATCATAAGAATAAATGAAGAATGATAAATCAATAAAATAAGTTGCGAATAAGAAATAATAGTTCATCATAAGAATAAATGAAGAATGATAAATCAATTGTTATATTTTTAGCGTTTTAATATAAGCGTTTTAATATTTAATTTAGTTTATGCAATTTAATATTTATTTTATATTTTAAGTTACATAGTCTTTTAAATAAGCAGGTTTATTTTTAATTCGCACAGGTCTAGAGATAGGTGTTATATCGTTATTATCAGTAATTTTTATATTTTTGTCCATACTTCCCTCCTTAAAAGAATCCTTAGAGTCATTATTAATAATTGTGTTAAAACAGTTTCTAATTCTTATTTGATCTAAATGTCTCCTCAAAATACCTTTCTCAGTCTTAATTTGGAACATCATATCACTTTCCTTATGTGTGATTATACCTTTGCACCATTTATCATCACCTTGTATTTTATACCAAACAAAATCTCCTACGTTAAAAGTTCTATTTCGTGGTAAAGTGACGTTTATTTTATTCTTCTTTTCCTCCATCGGTTTTAATAAGTCCCATTTAATTCTAATATCTCGATTAAACATTCTCTGTGATGGTGTAACTCCTGTAGTATCATTACGCGTATTTCTGTAATTAAGTAAAAATTTGCTAAGTGCGATATCTGGGTCTATTTTAATATTCCTTTTCATGTGTGTTTTGAACGTTCTAACCATGCGTTCAACCTGGCCATTAGATTGCTGGTGATAAGCAGATGTAAGCACATGTTTAATACCAAAATTGTTGCAAAATTTTTCAAAATCGTTACTCGTAAAGTTAGTACCGTTATCAGTAACTATAGTTTCAGGTATTCCGTATAGCGAAAAAGTTTTAAAGATTTCTTTTAAAGTAACATTAGTCGTAATATTTTTAACAGGAATAATAATTGGAAATTTGCTATAGGCATCGACTATTATCAACCAATTTTTTGTGAAAAACGGACCCGCATAATCTATATGTATCCTTTCAAACGGTTTAGTTGCCGAAACCCATGGTTTTTGTATCTTTATAGGATTATCGTGATATATATTACAATCGTCACAACTTTTCACTTCCGTAACAATATCATTATTTATGCCAGGCCACCACATGTAATCTTTGGCTAAGGATTTGATTTTTCCTGCTCCCAAGTGACCTTCATGTAATGACTGTAGTATAGTTTTTCTCATAGAAGACGGAATTATAATTTTATTGCTTTTGTAAAGACAATCTTTAATTATACTTAATTCCAATTCAATGTTTTTATAAATATTATTCATTATAGGTCTGTTGTTATTAATATCATTTATGACTTGTTTTAATTCCGTATCTTTCAAAGTTTCATCACGAATTTGATCAAAGTTAATAGGTAAATCCTCATATTCATTTATAATGGTTACATTTTCAATAGTTTCATCACGACATACTTGTGGTAATCTTGAAAGGCAATCAGGAACAACATTATATTTACCGGCTTTATACTTTATATAAAAATCATATCCTCCTAATGTAATATTCCACTTCTGGAGTCTTAACGACATGGTGCTATTATCCTTGAGACCCTTGGTGAAGATGTGAACTAGAGGCTTATGGTCAGTAATAATTGTAAATTTTGTGCCGATTAAATATTCCTGAAATCTCTTTATGGCAAACATTATAGCGAGTGCCTCACGCTCAATATTGGTATAATTCATTTCAGATTTTAATAAAGTTCTCGACGCGAAAGCTATAGGTTTTTCTTTACCATCTTTTTCAATATGAAATAGTACAGCTCCTAAACCACATTTTGATGCGTCAGTGGCTATCCCTATAGGTAATTCAGGGTTAAAATATGTCAAAGCAGGTGGAAGACTAATTAACTTCTTTAGATCATTAAAACTTTTAGAGTGTTCTAGATTCCAAGCCCATTTTTCTTTATTGACAATCTTATAAAGAGGATCGGCAATTTCCGCAAAATTGTTCAAAAATTTTCTATAGTAGCCAGCCATTCCCAGAAATGTTGATAATTCAGCAGCTGATTTTGGTTCTGGCATATTAATTATTGCTTCAATTTTGTCGTGATTAGCATGAATCCCCTTAGCGTCAATATCATGACCCAGGAACCTCACTTTGTTTTTAAAGAACACACTTTTATTAAAGTTAGGTATTAGCCCAAACGATGATATTCTATCGAACACTTTTTTTATGTTGTTTAGGTGGGCTTCATCGTTTTTTCCAGTTATAAGTAAATCATCAATATAAAATATAACGTCATCCATGTCCCCGAAGATTTGATCCATAATCTGTTGAAAAATTGCAGATGAGGTCTTAAGCCCAAAAGGAAGTCTAGTAAATTGGTAATATCCCTTATGCGTAGATATGGTTAAAATATTTCTGCAACTTTTATCAATTGGAATCTGTAAGAAAGCATTTTTAAAGTCAATCTTCGTAAATTTCTTTCCTTCCGAAAGTTTAGCAATTAGATCATTAATTCGTGGTAGAGGGTATCTAAAGTCTTCTAGAGCTGGGTTTACAGTATCCTTAAAATCAGCGCAAAGCCTAATGCTCCCATCTTCTTTATAGACAGCAGTAACAGGACTTGCCCATCGGACATCATTCACCGGCTCAATAATTTTATCATGTATCCATTTTTTAAGTTCATTACTAACAAGATTAATTTTTGAATAAGGAATACGTCTAGGCGGTATAATTTTAGGTTGGGCATCATTTCTTAAATGTAACTTGACACTTGCTTTGTTGATTGGCCCATTAGTTAATTTCGATTCACACTCTTTAATCAATTTTTTTATTTCATCTTCGTAATTAGTGTCAATATTTGCTATAAATTTATTTAAAATATTTTTGAAAGCATTGATCCACATACGTCCCAACAAGGCATTTTTACTTGATTCAACCACTACCGCTTGTAAATATTTGGACATACCATCATAAGTCACTTTAACTTGAGTAGTTCCTATGATTTTGATTAAATTCCCGTCATAAGCAGTGAGTTGTAGCTCGGATTTCTTAAGATCTCTAATACCAAGTTTTTTAGCCAGACCATGAGGTATGATAGTGTATTTGGATCCAGTGTCCACCTGCATACAAGTAACAACATCGTTCACTTTTACAGTGGTCATAAATGCGTTATCATTGTCATTAATCACGTCACCAGATAAATTGTTGACATTAAAATCATTATCATCTTTGTTCTTTGTAGAATCAACTTTCTCTTCAATAATTTCTTCAATATTCATGTTGTAATCATTATTGTATTGTATTTGATTTTTATTATTTTCGTCGCCATTTCTATAATTATTTGAGTTGTTATTATATTGTATTTGCTTTCTCTGAATATTACCATTACCTCTATAATTATTTGAGTTGTTGTTATATTGTATTTGCTTTCTCTGATACTTATCATTACCTCTATAATTATCTGAGTTGTTGTAATAAGATTGGTAATTATTACGATTTACGTCACCGTATTGAATTTGTTTTCTTTGATTATAATCATACCATGTATTATTTCTACCAAAATTCGATTGATTATTATTATTATTATAGCGATAATTGTTATAGTTATAATTGTTATAATTATCGTGGTATCGCGAATTATTATTACCATAATTGTATCTAAAATTATTATTGTAATTCCCATTTCTATATCTATTATCATAATTATTTCTAAAATTATTTCGAAAATTATTATCATTTCTACTGCAAAAATTTTTATCTTTATCGGATTTTTTATCATTATACATATAACTTATATCATTATCCTCAGACTTAATATTACTAGAGTCCAGTTTCACCCCTAATTCCACCATCTGATTCAATGTAAGGTCAAAATTTTTGGAAAATTTATATTTAATTTTATCGTTTAAAGTAGATGTCCGTAATTTCTCTTTTAATCTACTATCGTCCAAAAAATTACATTTCTTATGAAGTTTCGATACTCTAATGTACCATAACATAAAACTTTCTGATGAGTTTTGTTGAAGAAGATTAAACTTATTAATTAAAGTATTTAAATTTAGCGCTGGTAAAAGATAGGTTAACTTTTTAATCACAATTTTAAGATCTAAAATATCGGTATCAGAACAAATTGCCTTAATGTCGTCAAAAACTTCGTCTGATAAATTATTAAGCAAAGTATTAATTTTAATAGAGTCCGATAATGTACTGGTCGAAAAGTAATTTAATATTCTATCTAAATAAATTTCAGTAAGAGGACCCACTAACTTAGGGATCTTATGTGTAAATTCTTGTTTAATTTCCATATTTAATTAATAAGACACATATATAAGCAATTATAATATTTATTATTTTATCAATTCAAATTTTTGGTATAGCTATTCATGTTTTGGTAAATATACAGATTAATTCAATGAAATCATTGTCATTATAAATATAATGTTTCCCATTTAAA